AAGAGACCATTTGAGAAAAGTAAGCGTAGATGGGAGGAAAACATTAAAATTCATAGTAAAGTAATGAGCTGTAAGGAAGCACACTGAATCTATTTAATTTGGGAATAAGTGCAGTGTCAGACTCTTGTCAACATTGTAATGGGCGTTTATGTTCCATAAGAGGTGGGGAGTTCCTTGACTGGCTGAACGATTGTTGGTTTCTTAAGATGCATATAGGGTTAGAAATTACATGAATATATTATACACTGCCCATTATCTGACATGTTTGATATAAATGTTCCTAAAGTTGTTCCCGTCTTTTTTAACACTACTGGTTGCCTTTATACTGATCTTACTGCCCCGATAGTCTACTGCTTGGTGTACTAGAGTCCCATTCAAAAAGACTCCCAACTGTCGTCACTAATCGGTGTATATATATAAACAAAAGTAATGTTATGTCCTCCCAGCGTCAGTTGCGAGATTGCGGGTACGCCGTTAGAGGCACCACTTGACGGCTTGGCGGTAGCCCTAGACACGCTCATTGTTAGCACCAAAATAAAACTGTAAATCGAAATGTCAGCTTAATGACAAGCAATCACCTGAAAATATAAGTACAGGTGGATCCAACAACATCGTACTTATCAAATATGTGTCAGATAATGGGCAGCGTTCAAAATTACAACAGTATAATGAATCAACCATTTTCACAAACCTTTAGGCAATAATTGCTAATACATAGGCCTATTTGAAAAAGCCATTTGTGGCAATGATACAGTCGTACCTGGACCCATGTCAGTAAACAGAAATAACGTATGGCTCGAGTATTGACGCTTGAAGTAATTCGTAATTTGTTTTCACAAGAGGACAAAGATTCGATATAGTCTGTCCGGTTGCCAGCGATAGGACTAGAACTGCTCAAGGGGTAGGTGGGTTTAATGCTCTAAAAGATGTTGCCTGCCTGTCATATGATTGACAAATTACGGCTGCAAACGATCAATTGGGACAACTCTAGCAAAGGAAAGTCTAACAAAGACATACTAGCTAACTTTTGCGTTCCGTTGGGTATTAGTGTTATAGTACAGACTGTGGCTAACAGAATGTATGTGGTAACTGTATGTGCCACTTGTTTTAACATGAAGAAGCTAATATATATTTACAGGTGTCGCACGATTCTCAGATTAAAACACAGATTATTTTCCTAAAGACCATTGATCGGTTTATCTTTGTTATGGACACTAAGAGTGTTTTCTTCGAAGGAAGGATCTGAATTCTCAATTATTTAGATGAGCCCTATGCTTGGACAGATTAACGATTTCCATTTTTGCAATAAACCACGTAATCTTAATTTCTCTTCCCCGTTCATTTAATCTACACATTTCTGAACCTATAACTTCACACAAAGGCGAAAGCAGAAAGCGAATTGCAAATGTTCCAAACATACACGGCTGAAAAATGAGTGTAATCATGAATAGCGGTCTTATACAATGTAACGCCGTGTAGTATGGTAGAAGTTTGAGGACGTTTCCGAGGAACGTACTGCCTCCTTCTTCGGAATCAAAAAGTAAGTTGAGCAAACAATTAAGCAGCAAGCACATGACCAGCGAAAATGAATGGGAGTGTGGCAGGAGGCGATCGTATCTGATATAAAATTATCGTGAAATATTCCTAGAATGACGAAGGAAAACCATGAAAGCCTCATGATAACCGGTCTGGGGGGGGGGGCTCCTATCATTGATACTTGGACCTCCTAAACGTGAAGCAGGTATGTCTGCCCCCTCGATGATCATTCGGCAGAGGATACTGTTAAGATTAACATTAAAGAAATGAAGTGTGGTACTATATTCATCTCACCCAGGATAGTGTCCAGTGGCTGTCTGAATGACCAAGTGGTGTCATATTTCCAGCTAGTTATAGCAATTACACCCACTGTTTTGTGTGGATGTAAAACTCTGACTTCTTCATTAACAGAATATGGGTTGAAGATGTTTGAGAACAGCGTGCCTAAGAGAGTACTTTGACCTAACAAGGGAATGGTCCGATCCGACATGTCGAAACCTGCCCTGATTTTTTTTTCACTGCAAGAGTACACAAAAAAATCCACTGTCAAAATTTTAGCTGCTAATTCGCACTGCAAGTATTTTTTAAAAATTGCTGAACATGGCCAATATTATAGCCTGCCAGACCCTTGGAGAAATGTCCACCCCTAGCAGGGCAGAGCAGTACGCAACACGCAAGACGGCTGACTCACAGCCTAAGCTTTCGGTGCATCGGTAGAGAGATAACACGGCACAAATGCATCGTAATCTGACAAGTACACAGCTGGGGTTGTACAAACCTCTGGTACAAGCGGTTCCGCGTACACAAAAAATGAGTAACTTCGGAAATTTTTAAAAAATATTTGCAGTGTGTATTAGCAGCTAAAATTTTGACAGTGGATTTTGTTGTGTGTACTCTTGCAGTGAAAAAAAAAATGAGGACAGGTTTCGACATGTCGGATCGGACCATTCCCTTGTAAGAGGAAGAAAATGACAGGGGTTTTGAGAACATTTCATAATGCAGAGATTTGTAATTTGTGCTCTTTGATGAAAATACACGTATTTAAGTGTGACAAGACTGAGGATATGACTGGGGCATTAAACACACATGAAGCAGACAAGAAATTTATATATAATTTAGAAATGGATCATTTGAATTTAGATTGGAAAAAATATTAAAATATATCTTACAGAAACATAATATGATGTAGAACAGGTTCATCTAACACAGATCTAACATTCACCCATGGACAGCTTTTAAAATAACATAATAAATCAGTGAGATTTGTACAAAGTGCAAATCTCTTGATCAGATGAGTGACCATTAGTTTCTCAAGTAGGGCTCTGCCCCATGAAGTTACGCCAGACATTCATTCCCCAGAATAAAGTAGCTGGAGTAGTCATCTAGTGCTTGGGCTACAAATGCAGGAAGTTCCATCTACATACTCATTACGTGGTACTTGGGCAAATTAAGAACTTTAGTTTTACTTTCCTACCTTCCTTATATAACAAGAACAAAGCAATAAAGGAACTTCAAGGAATGATATGACATTCCTACAACAAAGTTTGATCAAAGTGAGTCAATAATTTCAAGAGTTAGCCAAAGAAGCAGGGAAAAGTGCAAGTAGACAACACTACTACCAACTGTCCTAAAAACCTGTTTGGTCTTGAAACAGTCTCCAGATAGCGGGGAGCTGTAATAGTGTTGAAAAAACACCTATGGATATAAAAAAAAAAGGTTAGCTTCCTCAAAGGGTTAGTTGTGTGGCTAAAACCACCAAGAAGAGCCCATTTACTATAGGATTGAATGTGTGTCATCATCAATTGGTGATGTAGAATGTTATGTAGTAAAAAAGTAAAGGTATCCCTGTAACAGGCCGTAGAGGCCCGTAGGGTTGTGAGATGTTGAGGTTCCCACATTTTCTAGACAATCAGCTCACAGATGGCGGCAAGGTTGTCAGCCCTACACGCCGGCCGTCTTTACCCCCAATAATATTCCTGGTACTTATTTCTGTTAGAGGCTGAGACAACCCCAGGGCCATAGTGCGGCTGGAAGGATTAAGCCAATTGAAAAAAATCCAGTGATCTCATTGGGGCTAGAGCCTGTGACCTTCTGGTTTGTAGCACAGTGCCTCAACCAACTACGCTACCGCGTGCCCCTGAATGTTATGTCATCATTCAAAAGTTACTACATTCCACTTTCAACTTAAATGCCAGTGGGAAAATCAAACATACTTATATGGTGCTATCCTTTCATAAGGTTACCCACATAAGATATGATGTGTCCTTTTGTGTAGACTGTAGAGCATATGGACTCATCTTGTTGCAGGCCTATCACAAACTTGCCAGAAAAACACACACAAAACCACAAAATTATACAACTCTTAGGTATGATTTTAGAAACAGAATAGGTCAAAAAAGGCTTCGAATTTCAGAAGCATAGCAAGTTAATCTTAAGACAACAAGATTCTAGAATCTAAATTAGTTGCACTAATAACAGCAGAGTCAAATCAGAGATGTTTGTGCTGACAATATTAAACCAGAAGAAGGCTTTCTTCATAGTCAATGCCATGAAAACCTCTAATCTTACAATATCTCTTGGAATTCTGTAAGAACATTAAATGTCATTGACAGCTGAACAGCTTATGAATGAAGTCAGCTGTAGTAACACAACATGTAACTTTGCAAAGCAATGAACTATGAAGGCAGTAGCATCCAATAAAGAAAACTACTAGTTAGTTAGTTATTGGAGAGGGTAGGTTTCCCCATGCACTGAGACCTGTATTGGTCCATTGTGCTGCCCTCTATGATTTCTACCAGTCTCTATATCCTACCGGTACTGGTGCCGCCCAGCCAGCGAGACCGGCTCTACTAGCTGAGAGGTATCTATAATGCTTCCCCCATCTACCAGAGGTATTAGAGACTGCTGTTGGGCGGGGAAACGTCCATTAATTTGGCTCAGTGATCTCCTTTGGAGATATGAGGTTCTTTTATGTGCCTTAAAGCTACGACATGGGACCCACGGCTTAAAGTCCCTCCCGGAGGATTTGTTCCCTGAATTTTTCCACCCTTAAAAATTCGATGACCTCCGCCGGGTATTTGAACCCGTGTACTACGAGTCATGAGGTGGGAACGTTACCTCTAGACTACGGAGGCTGCTAAGAAAACTACTATAGTCCACCCTCTATAACAAATGATTTACATAACTGTGTTATTTTCATATCTGAATAAACTGATTTAAATCTAAACTGAGGTGCCTAGAGGAATTTATTTCTATTTTACTTCATAAAATTTACAACACTGTAAATTATGTGCCTCATTTTGACCCACAATGCTCTTAAAAAAAAAAAAAAACATGTTTCACCAATGAAAATTTATGTTTTACTGGCTATGGATGTGATTATAAAAAGGAATAAACATTATCATTTTTGATAACTCTGTGGGAGCCTCCTACAGTGAAGAAAGCACTATTCAATCAGCACTCACCATGACAGCTGCAATACCATTCACTACCATGCTGCCCGGCAACAGAAGTATAAAGCTGTGGGCCTCCGACACGCTAGCATTGGAGATATGGAGGTTATTTGAAAATGGTTTGAGAGAAAAATCATCATTGAAATGGTGGATTCTCATTGTGTGTTCGTCTGCTGGTTGTGAAGGTGGGTGAGAGGACTTCTTGCAGACTGGTTAGACGGGTCAATGTTTGAGGGACAGATTTACAGTGCACAAAAATCTTAAGACTGAGTGATTAGTAAAAAAAAAAAAAAACAGTGACACTTGTGGCGAGTGTCGTGACAAAGAAGGCGGACGTCCCTGTGCTGGGGTACCAGGCATTCTGGTCAGACAAACATGCCTCACCACGGTCCGAATACCAGGTGCTGATATGGCAGTATCCCAATGCAGATACACAGTACAGGAGGTTATTTAAAATCTCGTGTGACATTGAGGATGTGGCTGGCTACACACCTGCTGCGGTTCGGGAGAATGCCAAATGGACAGCAATAGCCAGCGCTGCTGAAGACAACAGAGCCAGCTACTGCAAGGCTCTTTCAGGCGAGACACTGTTCAGTGCTCTGTATGGGACTTGTACAGTTACACTGAATGAACTAAAGACCCTTCTGAAGGCCGGAACCTCAGCAGGCAGAACCACCACAACAGAAACTGAAAAGCCAACCCAGGTGGAAGGCTTTAAAGAAGTCTGAGGGCACAAATGGTGCAGCACCACTGAGACTGCCATGAAAAAGAAAGAAGAAAAAAAAAAAAGCAGTGGCTACTGCCAGAAGCACCCCCACTAATGAGGTCGCCACCTGCAACTTTTTCGCACCTCTCAAGGCAACGATTATGGACACAGACTCTTCGAGTGCCAAGGCCACTACACTGGAGATGGCAGTCCCTGGTAAAGCAGGCAGACCACCCCCAATAATACCAACGTCCAAGATCAACCTGACTTAGTTGCAAAGGCAACTGAAAAATGTGGTCAAAGGTGACTTTGAGTTCCATAGTACCAAAAACGGAACCAGAGTCATAACAAAATGCATGGAGGATTTCAAAGCCATCAAATCCCATTTTTTCAAATAACAACCTATCCTACTACTCCTTTCCCAAGCCCCCAAAACCCATAAAAGCAGTAATTCGCCACCTTCCTCCCAATTCCCATGCGGAGGATATTTCTGATGGTCTGGTTACCTGGGATTTGATGTAGTTAGTGTCAAACAGATTACAACCTGCTGGTCACCTTCTGAGGGAACAATGACAAGAAACATTCCCTTGTTCCTTATCGCCCTACCTAGGATGGCAAAATTGCAAGAAATTTTCAACCTGCACAGCGGTGTGGGGTTGGCCACCTGCACAAAGTGTCCAGAGAAGGAGAACGCTACCTCCACTCCAGCTTACTGTAACTGCCAGATGATGGAGGGAGAGAAACCCCATCCTGCTACATATCGGGGCTGCAGACACACAGAGGAGGAGCTAGAGAAGAGGAAGGGTGTTCTCCTCAAACCTCAATATACCAGTTGACCCCTTCGTTTCGGAGTTCCAAGGCAGCACATCACAAGAGCAGCAGCCTCAGACATGCCAAGTTCCAGTGACAGTTCCACCCGCAGCCAAGAAATCAAGTGTCCCCACCCCTTAACAGAAACAAGAAACAGGTCAGTCACTTCAGACTCCAATGGTAAACAGTCAGCCCCTGGACAGTACGTTGAGAGTAGTGACTGTAGTACAGCAAATTATGACAGAGTTCAATGTTGCTCTGTCAGAGGAGGAGAAAATAGTGGCAATTACGAAAATTGTATTAAATTTCATGAAACAAGAGGACTACTAGAGTTCATAGGTAGCTCAAAGTCATAGCATTTAATGCGAACGGCATTGGGAGACAGCGCTACGAGCTCAGTAAACAGCTGCAAGACCTACACATAGATGTGGCCTTGTTTTCAGAGACATATCTGAAACTTCATGAGAGGATCTTTATTCCAAATTATCACTTTTATTAAACCAACCACCACCCAGGCAGAAAAGGTGGAACTGCCACTGCAGTTAGAAAAGGCACTCCCCAAAACCATGTAGACCTACCATCCCTTGTTTCGGTAGAAGCGACAGGGGTCTGCATACCAACTGGTAAGAGTGAAGTGCTGCTTGCAACCATTTATTAATCTCCAGGCAAGGACTCGGGCAATGCTAACATCACTGAGCTCTTAAGCTTTAGACGAAAGTCCATCTTGGCAGGTGATCTGAATGCTAAACACCCATTCAGGAAGAGCAGAGTTTCAAACCACTCAGGCAAGGAACTCATGGACTTGTTTGATAGGAATGAATTCAAAATTTCAACAAAAGTGATGTTGAAATTTCTCTCAAAACATATTGAAGAAAGAGACCTCAGTGTAAGACAGTTTGGTTTCTGTGAAAGTCACAGTATGACATTGCAATGTATGAGGCTGGCGCACAATGTGACCCTTAATTTCAACAATAAAATGTCTATGACCACGGTGTTCTTGGACATCGAAAAAGTCTTTGATATCACATGGCACTCAGGCTTGCTGTATGTCATCAAAATTATAATTTTTGAATATGAAGAAAGCAGTCTTCTGGGATTTGGCACCGTGTATATGTGGTGTTAACCGACGTTTCGGAGGAACGTATCGCCCCCATCTTCAGGGTTGAAGAAAAAGTATAAGTAAATCTGCAAGCGACAACACCATGAGACACGGTAAAGCAAAAAGTATAAGTAAATCTGCTTGCAGATTTACTTATACTTTTTCTTCAACCCTGAAGATGGGGGCGATACGTTCCTCCGAAACGTCGGTTAACACCACATATACACGGTGCCAAATCCCAGAAGACTGCTTTCTTCATAGTCACCGCCGTGAAAGCCTCAAATCTTACAATTTTTTAATAGTTTGACCAAGATTATTGGGTCCTTTCTCTCACAACATAAATTCAGAGTTTGGGGCGAAGGCAAAATGCCAATACCAAGGGAAATGAGAGTAGGGAGGCCACAAGGCTCAGGTACTGTCCCCTAATCTTTTCAATTTGTATATAAATGATGGCCCCCAAACACATGGTGTTAACCTGGCCTTCTCTGAGGGCGACACCTATCTGTATGCGACAGATTGCTAGGGTTTTACTGTCAGAAAACTCCAGCACGGTCTCAGCTCATTGGAGACCTGGTGAGTGCTGGAATATAAAAATTAATGACGACTTAGGAGGTCTACTTCTATCATAGTCAGCGACCGCCTGAATCTTCTCTTACGCTAAATGGACAAAATATTACATTTGTAAATAGTGCAAAATATCTAGGTGTAATCCTTGATAAGAGAGTTACATGGAGACTGCACATAGAAACAATCGAAGCCAAGACCTTCAGAACATTCATTAGAGTATATTCCCTATTCAAAAGAGAGTGCCTGAGCACTAACATTAAACTGACCCTCCACAAAGCTCTCATTAGATCTGTAATGACTTATGTTAGTCCTGCCTGGGAATTTGCGGCACACAGCATCTAATGAAATTGCAGCGCCTGCAAAACAAAAGTTCTCTGCACCACTGGCAAACTTCCAAGGCGCACACCAGTTTGTGATTTGCACATGGCGTTCAAAATCCCATATGTATTGTCACGTGTTGGGTATGTCATGTGACAAATAACTTCATGTGGGTTCCGGATTCAGCGAATCTTTATTGGGCACTCAATCTTACACACCTTACAATGGTTATCACTTCAACTGTATCCTGTGGTGGCTATCTTTCAACCGTAGTCGCCACACGTGACAACTACGGTCGAAAGATAGCCACTGTAGGATACAGTTGAAGAAAATTATGTATATTATATAACAAAATGATGCAGGCAACAGGCAGAAGTCATACAACATCATGATGAGAATGTTAGCAATACTGGACAAGGCGAAGCCTGACAAAGAAAGTATAAGTGGCCTAAACTTGGCGGCGGTCAGGCATACGACCGTTCAAGTAACTAGACTGCCATCACTAGCTCAGGATAGCCTGCCGTGAATGGAGTTCTTGCCGGTATTCATCAGGTACACTCTGCTTTTCTGATTGTCTGGAATATTCATTCTAACAACAATAAACACTTGTTGATAGTTTTATGTGGTTGTCCCTCCACACCATTGGATTTTACAGTCTACAATTGTCAATTTCTCCATGAATGTATTTCCTTTGCCAGGTTACAACCATAACAGCCACAGGGAACTGTGAAATAATTATTTCACACTACAAATTTCGTTTCAGATGTGGAGGCTCTGCCTGCAACTGGTGGCCATTGCAGCACTTTGTCTATGCACCCTTGCCGAAGCTCAATCAGGCTTATTCCAATTAGCAGACAAAAGATATACAAATAAATATTGTGGCAGGAAACTATCAAACATGCTTCAATTTGTGTGTAATGGAAATTACTACCCAATGTTCAAGAAGACATCACAAGGTAAAGGCACAATAGCATAATGTTCTCAGCTATAGAAGCAGCGTCACAAGTTCCTCTACTGGCAGATATCAGCAATTTCATTTTCACTCAAAATATTAAACTGATGAAAAACTGCAAGTTTCACTTTTGAAGCAGCACCTGCTGTTGAGGAATGTTCAGCTGCAGCTACAGCAGCTTTCACAGGATATACATAAATCCTACATATAATCAGTACATTTCATTTTTTTTAAATATTTTCCCCAGCGCACACACACTCAATTTTAGCATCAGGGTCAAAACATACAATGAACCAGTGAGTTTGCTGGTACCCATGAATTCTTTTTCACTATGTCCACTGGACGAAAAGAAAATCTCTTCATACAATACCTCTGATCATTGGTGAATGTGGAGCTGTTCCAGATACCATGTTCAACGCAACTGTACAACAGAAACATGTCTGACAAGTTTATACATGTCAGGCCACCTTAGGTAAAAATTTTCCTATGTACTGTATTTTCATATTAAAAGCAATTTTCTTAATTTAACGCAGAAATATTAGTGCTCAAGGCAAATAGAATAACACAACATCACTAAGTGTCAGAATACAGAAGTATTAGTATGAGAGGCAAATGCATAACTCAGCAAGCAAAAAGTGTTAGGAGTTGCTGAAGGCAATGGACCTCAGGTCTAGACTCAAAGATTCCTGCTGCTGCCACATATAATGTGTACATAAAAGCAACAACTGCAAGGATTATTACATGTATAACAACCCATTCTGCTAACTAAAGAGCTTTATGGGGACAATCCTTTTTGAACCAGTCAACAAATGCCCAACCCTCTAGAAAACACAAAGGTTCATTATGACATTCACAAGTGCCTACCATTGGTCCCCTTCCAAAATCAAATGAATCAAATCCACACCCTCACACTGTATTTCACTACAAACCACTTTAATAATTTGATACCAATCTATATCTAGAACTTCCCCTCTGGTTTTCTGACTAAATATTTGCTCCCCCATGTGTGCTACATGCCTCGCCCATCTCATTTTTTATTTCCTTATTGCTAAGGGTGTTCCGTATATAGTGCGTTCTATTTTTTTAAAGAAATCTACAACATATACAGAAATCATAATAACGCAGTTAAATAGAGCAAGATTTCAGCTACTTACAGCTATTTTTCCACATAATCACCACCATTCGTTATGCACTTTTGCCAGCGATGAAGAAGAGCCTGTATGCCATGCCCACAAAGTCTGCGCCTGCAAAGGCAAGCCACTTTCTTACAGCTGCAATGACAGCATCGTTGTCTGGAAAATGTTGCCCACGTAGTCCATCTTTCATAGGCCCAAAGAGATGGAAGTCTGAAGGTGCTAAATCAGGGCTATAAGGTGGATGTGGTAGGACAGTCCAGCCAAACTTTACAATGTGCGCGGTGGTCGCCAAACTGGTATGGGGTCTAGTGTTATCGTGTTGCAAGTGAAAAGTTGTCTGCTTCTCTGGCCTGACTCGGGAAATACAGGCTTTCAGCTTAGTCAGCGTCGTCTTGTAGCGTTCAGAATTGACAGTCCCTGGTCATTATCTGCTGATCTGTTCAGATGAAGCGCTGTTCATTGTGAGGAGTGGCAGCTGAGCAGGGACGCCCATAGCGTGGCTTGTCGTGCACTTCAATTTTGCCACTGTTGAAATATACTGCCCACCGAATCACTGTGCTGACATCCACTGTATTGTCTCTGTACACCTTCAGCAAGTGTCGATGGATGTCAATGGGTACAATTTGTTTGGCAGTGAGAAATTCAATAACACATTTCTCTTTCATACGCACTTCTATGTCAGACACCATTTTGGTAGACTGCTCTGCTGTTGCTATCTGTCGCATGATAACCAAATTAAGAGTACATTGGCAGGAAGGTTCAACCTTTACTACAACACCAACATCCAGCTCAGACGTTACATATTAACACAAAAAAATAGGAGACATTATATACGGAATGCACCACGTATAACAATATTTTGGTGAATATTATAAATTATGAAGCTTCTTACTAAACAATTTCCTACAGCCTCTTTCCCCTTTCTCCTCTCCTTCCTGAAGGTTCAATTATTCTCAATACCTTATCTACAAGCATAATCTATGTTCTTCCCATAATGTAAGAAACAATGTTTGATATCCATATAATGGATAAAATTATAATTTAGTATATTTTCATCTTTACACTTTTATGTCGGCAACTGGAAAACAAGATTCTAAACTGAATGGCAGCAAGCATTTCCCAGATTTAATCTTGTCTTAATTCATGAATGTAGTTTTATTCGAAGAGTTCTAACTTCTGGGATATAATGCCATACATTCCAGTGAATGGCACCTCATGTTTGAGAGGGGCATGTTGCTTCCATCTTCATGCTCGCAGAGTAAGCCAAGCAAGAAACCAACATGAAGTAGGCACCAAGTGGGGCATTATATCCAGAAGACAGAACTCTAAAAAAATAAAAAAGTAAAGCTATCCCTGTACCAGACCGTGAAGGCCCATAGGGTTGTGAGACGCTGAGGGTCCCACATTATCTAGACAATCGGCTCAAAGATGGCGGTAAGGTTGTCAGCCTTATGCACCGGCCACGCTTCACTCCCGAGGAAAATTATTTAATTAATTCCTGGTACCCATTTCTGTTAGAGGCTGAGCTGATCCCAGGGCCATAGTGCGGCTGGAAGCATTAGGTCAACTGAAAGAATCCAATGACCTCATCAGGACTTGAACGCGTGACCTTCCAGCTTGCAGCATAGCCCCTCAACCAACTATGCTACCGCGTGCCCCCAGAAGATAGAACTCCTCACAATTCAAATCCTACATAATTTAATTTGCCACTGCACAAATATTATAATTTTGCCAGTTTCTTATGCTGTATAAGCTATCTCTATGTTCTGATGATGATACTTGAACATGTACTTAGTTGTTTCTGAATTTACCTGCAGACTAACCTCCTTGCTAAGAGTGCATTAGAGTTTCTGCGTGTTTCTTTGTGGTATTAATGTTTTCCCCAAACAAATTACCATTGGCATGGTCTAAACATGTTGTGCAAATGTATCTGGCAAGGATCATCTATAACTAAGTGAATAATAATTATTAAATATATTGTGGCATGTACACTCTTGATGCTGGAAAACATTGGTTCATGGTCCATTTAGAAATGGACAACAAAGAAAAAGGATGCTGGACAAAAGTGCAGATGCTTGAAGCTAAATGTTTAGCATTATAATAAACAACTAAACATATATACCATGAATATGGCAAAGATGCAGAATACTTGAGGTAATGAAAATTCATGAGATAAAATCATATAGTTTTAACAGTGTAACTGGCTGAAGAAAATAAGTTGCTACTTAGGTATTACAGTTATTCTTATAATAATGGTACTTCCTTGGTTACGTGATGTTTATATTTAGTAAAGTAGAACTGATTTACTTGAAAGCGAGTTTTCCCAGAGTTCACAGTTGAATAACATATGTAAGAACTGCATACAATCATGACTTGAAATATCAAAGTAAAAACCAAATTAGAGACACAGCATATACCCACTCACTCAGGATCTTAATAATTCACAAGTTCAAAACCTGTCCAGCACATAGGCATGGTAAGCACCAGTTGTCAACTACATTTATCACTATCATATACAAAATTTGTAAATTCCTTATAGTGTTATGGTTATGGTCAAGGTCAAGAACAAACTGGAAATCCTTTGAAGAAAACCCTGAGGCAGGGCAAGGGAGAATAATTTCTTGAGGCAGTGAACAGGAGTCTTTATATCATGATACTATTTCACTGCACTGATCACAGAGCTTCGAATGGTAGATTTATTCTTAATAATGAATATATATATATATGAATATATATAATATAATATAATATATATGAATATATATAATGAATGTCCCAGCATCTGTATGGAGGGACTGAGAAATACCATGACAAACATCAATCATGATACCCTGTCTCTGGGCTGAATCTCTAATCTGGGAATTTCAACATATGAAAAAAGAGTGTCAACCACTCAACTGTGACCTTTGGTACATGCAAAATGCAGAATAAAATTGTTTGTACATTTATTTTCACAGATGTGGAAGACATGAATGACTCTGATTTCTGGATACAGACTACGCCTATAGATGAACAGGAAGTACAGTTTCCATTCCGTTCAAGATCAAAGGCAGTAACAGCTGTGCCTGGATCATTCAGAAGACATACACGCGGAGTTTATGATGAATGTTGTCGCAAAAGTTGTACAATACAAGAAATGGCAAGCTATTGTGGAAGATGATAATCTATGCATGTATGAACCCCTCAGAAGAAATGTGGCACATGCCTTGTTTCGCAACATAAAAGGTTTCCAGTTTGGGTCTGAAATAAAATCTAAGACTATAAACAAAATTATGGCACTGGAAAATATCACCATTCATTACGTTTGCCACCATTTATTACATTCTCAATGCAACATATTTTCTCATCCCTATTTTACTTATGCTAGAGCTAGTCCCTATTAATAGGTCCAGAGACAGGGACTAGTTCTAACACTGGCCCCAATGGAATAGGCTTTTTATCTGAGAACAGAGACAGAGTCCAATCTCTGAAACGTGACTTAAAATAAAAAGCAGGATGATGGATGTCAAGAAAAAAATCATTATCTTCATGTGCAAAATGTCAAGATAAACTTGTTATTAAAAATATATTGATAAACACTGATCACTGATTATACTGCTTTATTCTTTGTACAACTCCATATTTTGGGGCAGTTCTTTACAATCATGAATCTTCCAAAAACTGTGTAAATACTACCATTTGGTCTGATATTACATACACAATGCTGCTTTCATTGTATTCACGATCCTTACTTTCATTTCTATGAGCACTCACTTGTAGAAGAACCCAACGACTTTCTTAACTGCACCAATTTTAATTCTCTAAAGGACTGCTAGTGCTTGAACATAAGACTGTCTATGTTCTCTTTCTTAGATTCTACAATATTAGAGGAAAATAAAAAAAAAATAATAAGAATCAAAGATAAATGGGGCAAGGAACACAAAACATGTGTTTAACCAAGGAGCTCTAGTATTAGTGACACAGCAACACTGCTTTACCTAGGAAAACAATTCAATCTTTATTTTGGACTGTCCAGGTGGGGGGGTGGGGGGCTGCACTGACCTGCTAACCTATACATAACTAACTTAAAACCAAATATTTTCATTGGCCCATATCACCTTCCTTCTGTGTGGCTCATAAACCAGAACAAATGAAACATTTCATCTTTAATAGATTGTGACTTACTGAACAAAACAACATTTTGTATATACTGCAACTGGTGTTCAGAACACTGAAGCATTTTGGCATTTGTCACTGTTTACAAATAAAACCATTCACGATCTAGGTTCTCTGTTTTATGCTCTCCTACAATTATTTAAGAATTTGTAGGTCCCGATGGTGTCTCTACTTTGACGTAGTGGAGGGGCTTGCGTTGTCAAATGACCCTGAGAGCTATGCCGGCAGTAGCATAGCTACTGGTAGGGCCACCCATGCTGGACAGGTCGAAGGTGATGACCCAGACTAAAAGAGATACCCTGGCCCTCCAGGTTGGAGGTTGGGCGAGAGGCTGACGACCTCTCACCGTAAGAAAATATAAATATCTCAAAACCTGGAATCAAGCCTTGGAAACCTCAACAGAATGGAAGACGACATTTGGCAAAGAATATGCTACTCTCTAGGTACATGGAATGTGAAAACCCTCAATAAACCGGGTGCCATGAAATCGGTACTAGAACAGATAAGTACAATATGAAAATCACAGCCATACAGGAAACTAGATGGCTGGGTAAAGGAATCATGGACTTAAAGAAACACACTGTGTTACAGTGGTAAAGCAGAAGGCAATAAGGAATTTGGTGTAGCCTTTGTAATAGAATGAGAATTTAAAAGCGCAATAATAGACTTTAAACCAATAAGTGAAAGAATTTGCACTTTGAGAATTAGAACGAAATTTTTCAATATGACGGTGATGAATGTGCACGCACATACAGAAGAAAAAGAGGACATCAAAGACTATTTCTATCAACAAATTGAAGAGAGATATGATTCAATACCAAGTAATGACATAAAGGTTATTTTAGGGGATCTTAATGCCAAATTAGGTAAAGAGAAGGAACACATAGAAGTAACTGGGTCAGAAATTCACATGATACAACCAACCATAATGGAATAAAATTAATAGATTTTGCAGAAAGTAATAACTTGATCATCAGCTCTACATACTTCCCGCATAAAGATATATATAAAAGGACATGGGCAGCACCGGATGGGGTAACCTTCAATCAAATAGATCATGTCCTCATAGAGAAGTGATTTGCGATGAAAATCCTGGACGTAAGAACATTAAGAGGGGCCAACTGTGATAGTGATCATCATTAAGTACAGGTCAAATATAGATGTAAAATAAGCTGTCAAAGATCTAAGCAGTATGAGAAATGTAAGAAATTTAATATTGACAAGATTACGGAGAGTGATAAGAGAGAAGCATTTCAAAATAAAATTAAAGAAATTAATGACAATAGAGCAAATAAAGAAATAACGGTAGAAGATATATGGGTAGATTTCAAAACTGCAATAATTATAGAAGCTGAGAAGACTCTGGGATATCAAGGGAAACAGGATAATAGGGAATGGTTCAACGAGGAATGTAGGGAGAGTATAAACCTCAAGAATAAGAAATATATGGAAAGACCAACAAGAGCAAGGAATGAGGCGTATGAAGAAGGAAAGCAGACAAGATTTGCAGGAAAAAGAAACAAGCCTTTCTAAATGAGCAATTACTGCAACTGGAAGAAGACTTCAAAAATAACAAAACAATAAATGCCTTTGGTCGAATCAAATATATGAAAGAAGGTTTCAAACCAAAAACAGAATTTATCCGAGATAAAAAACGGCTTCTAATAAAGAATAAAACAGAGATTATGAATACATGGAAAGAATATTTTGAACAATTATTAAATCAAAATCAGAATATGGAAGATAACGAGGACAATGAAGAAGAAAATACAGATGATGGCGAAGGGGAAGAGGAAGAGATAATAGAGCCCCCAACAAAGGAAGAAGTGGAAGAAGCATTAAAGGAACAAAAACTAAATAAAGCACCATAGAAGAAGAAGTTATTAGATAAAACTGGAATTGTTTTTCTTTTAATGTGCATGCAGCTTATACTGACTTACACTGTGAAGTAAGATATTTTCCAGGTTATCTAACGCCATATACATGAAATTATTCACTATATGCAACCACTTCTTCACTTCACTTGACTCCAGAAAAATCCCAAAAATGCATGGATTTAATTCAATTCCCACCTGCGTCTGCTATCATTTTGCCACTGGGAGTACCACAAAATCTGTTTCATGTGCAATTCAACATCAGAAACTGATGTCTCAATCTCACCAGGTGAAGAACAACCTGGGTAGTCTTATTAGACATTAAGGGAAGAACAGTAAAAGCTATAGCATCTTTAAGAGTGAACTGTAACATTTATACAGGCATAAAGGGTGACTATGCTAAGCATATTTGGTAGTAGCTGGGTCAAAACTCCAACACTGCTTATGATTCCAGGCTTACAGGACATCCTGTAGATTAAGGGCATTTAAGAACAGGATACTAAGGAAAATATTTGGACATATGAAGCAGCAGGAGGCTGGAATCTTCAGTCTTCATGAAATCAGTTATTTTCTTGACTAGTTGAGCAACTACTTGCGTCTCAAGGACTCTACACCATGGAATTAGATATGCAGATTGATATGTATGGCTGCTCTCCCACTGGAACTACTAAGAGTATGGAGCTGATCACATGCACCAGTCATTTGAAACAAGTGGCACTTAATACTCATGCACTGAAGTGACTGGCTGAGTAAAAACCAAAAGTCACAATTAAAGAAAATCATTTCATTAAATGCTGAACTCACTATTGCTATGCAGTTATACAAGTAAAGCTGGTAAGACCGCGTCCAATTGCATGTATTTGCGGCCGTGAAGATCACTGGGACAACTACGAACAAAAAAACATGTCAAGAGGATTACAGCATGGCCTTCCCACCTCTTGACATAAAGGTAAGGATGCCTAAGAAACATGTCATTAGAGCCTGACGGGGAGAGTGGAAATAAAGCATTGCCCACTCCTAATGTTGGCACTTAATTGAGGTGAGTGGTCAGCTCCACACTCCAGCCACTTCATCCCTCAAACCCTGGCTGTCCAGCCCACAGCCAGTCCCAGAAGTGATCATGCTATCACACCTGACGCTGCAGTTGTAAGTTAGGCTGAATGGAAGTTAAGCTCCTTAAACGTTATCACTGTACAGTCCTGTATTAAACTCCCCATTGTCTCTACATGTTTCGGCACTTGCAATCTCATCCTCAGGAGTATATACTTGGTAATACAAATAAAACTAAAAACTTCACAAGAAGTTAACGAATTCTTGGTGTCAAGGGATAAGAAGTACATTCAGCTTGAAGGCTACAACTGGTTGCTGGATTTAGCTTTCTTTGTAGACACTACCAACCAAAATTACCAAACAACAGAATGACTGCAAGGATAATTCAAAACAATAACTGACATGATCAGCTATACTGTTTCAAAAACAAACTGAAATTACTGTCTTCCCAGCTGAAACAGAATGAACTGAGGAATTTCCCAAACATGACCAAAAATTACTAAAGAAAAAACGTCCGTCTAACAAATAATAAAAATACTACCAGCAAATATAAACTCTTTGCTCAGAATCTGAAAGACACTTTAAAAATTTTACAATACTGGAACTAATCACTATGTTCATGTTTTAACCATCTGACACTGTTGAAGTGAAAGATGTAGCAATAAGAACTAAAGTCTTATTTTCATTAAACTAATGTGCTGTTGAAAATGAGGCTCTTATTCATCAAAGTGACATAAAGCTAAAAGCACAAATTTCTGAAGTTAGTTTCTGGAATCTGACGAGTGACGAAAAGTGTTCAAATCTCAGAAAAGTGGCCTTGTATATACCAACCTTCATTTATGTAAATCTGCCTTATCGAAGGTGAATACTGTCAAGTGAAAATACTGCTCCTGCTTTGCAGATGACCACTTTGATTCGTATTTAAGGTTAGCAGTTAGTAATCACACCAAAATTCACAAATATCAGTGAACTAAACAATATGCAAGTCTTTTCTTCTTATTAAATAATGTGTGTTTCCAAGCACATCACATCATCAGAAACTTATTTTTAAACATGCTTGTATCCTTAGTCTTCACGTTCGTAAAATTTACATTACGTACACCCTGCTGTAAATTATGAAAAAAAGTATCTGAGCTTCAAGCTGCAATTAACCCATAAAACATATGTTTTTACACATTCTTATTATCTGTTAAGAAAAACTAAATTAATTAAATATGTGGACCACAGGGTTCTGGAGAGTTTGGAAGCAGCGTCTGTCATGCAGAAGTCTCCCCAGCCTTGCTTTAGAACATTTGGGTTTAAATTATACCCTCCTCCACCTGGCAATACTCTAAATCAAGGTTCTCAACCTTTGTCAGACCACGGCCCAGTAAATTCTTTATTCTATAAGATTAGGGCCCAGTATAATTGATGCCAGTGCCCAGTACCGGGCTGTGGCCTGGCGGTTGAGAAACACTGCTGTGAGTCACTTGTGTCTTTAATTTCTCCTGGAAACACATAAAATTTGAGTTCAGAGCAAGGATAAATGCTGTTACATGAATGTTTGTTTGCAAAGAAAATACGAAACACATAAAACAAAATTTCTTTCCCTTTTCTTTTTATAAATGAGGGGCGGATACGTTAACATGTAGCACCATACCATTTTTGATAATTTCCTTACATCTACATGGCAGATGAAAATCTTCTTAAAGGAAAGATTGATGCATGCAGGAAGAAAATATTTAAGTGAACTGAAACTAAAAGGAGAGCTTACACAAACTACCACATGAATGTACTGCAGCTATTAGTGTGGCACACTGTAGCTGTATGGTGGTACAATCATGACTGTTCCTTCTGTCTGCAAAGTCTGTCTAAGTGATATGTCAGTGTCTCAGTAAAGATGGACAGACAGTTTATATGCTTTTCAAATTGTGGTCCTCTGGGTTGTGACACCATGGAATATTGTGGGTGGAAACAGACATGGAGGCAGCACATTCCTCTGAAACATTCATATCCCCCCACCTGGTGTCACAACCCAGAAGACCACAATCTGAACAACCACTACAGTGGAAACCTCTTTCTCTTATGGTGTTACTTCACAATGCTGTCAGAAGCTACACCATATAGCATCAATTGAATTGGAATTGAACTGAAAAGGATTTGGAAAGAATTGGTCTTGGCCTAAATGGGGTACTACCCCAGTAGTTGTGTGGCAGGACTGAGGGAAATTTCACTGTCAGGGTGGTCAGTCTTCCAGCCAAGAAACAAAATAAGCATATCCTGAATATGGGTCATCTAGATAATTACTGCTATGCAACCCATTCATAAAAACTTCAGCATTTACATTGCTATACTTTGCTCACTAGCTGTACTAACTGCAAAGCAATATGGGTTCAGTTGAGACTAGCAACCAGAAACATATGTACATATAGTACTTGACACTTGAAAAAAAATGGTAGTAGTATTATTCTACATGTTTTCTGGCTGCATTATGAATTATTTTCTGATTTGGCAAATGGTCCACTGTAATGTATAGCTGACTTACAAGGAAAACTTACAGAGCACCTGATAAAAAACATACAAATAAAAATCAGGCAGAAAAGATAAGTGACTTGAAGGCCAGTTCCATGTCCCCTGTTCCATTTCATGTGGGGGGAGGGGGAATCAGACATTACATATATGCATAAAACAGACTGCGGCAAACAGACAGCATTCAAGTATAAAAAATACAATCTACAGTGTTACTTGCTTCACGGAGTTTCAATATTCACCCAATCACTGATCCAGTTTCATGTACAGAATCATGCACATTCTATCAGAAATAGTGGATGTGTTAAAATGACTGTTCCTTCATACAGACACCACTCAAATTCTGTGGCATACCTGTTACTCAACTACCACAATTTTAGTATGTGCCACTGGATTTAACATCCCAAAAGTGATACTCTTCTGTTTATAACTTGACTTTGTATCAAAGGAAAAGATCTATTTACCTATTTAATTTTAGAAAAGTTCTAACATGTTAGTGTCTCTGACCCAAGAAGTGCTGAAACATAACCCAGGTCCATAAGATAGCAGACTGCATATGGATGCCATAGCAACAATATTCCATCCCCAATTAGTACAAACATGTGTATTTTCAATTCTGCTTCACAAAAATTTAAGAACATACATACTCCTACTGTGAAAACAACCCACAAACATGGTGTGCTTTAGAAAAATTATATCAATTCCACAGTAAAGTTAAGAAATAAACCATTTTCTATGGCCTACTTCATACCCTGACAAAATAATGCAAATATTAAATAAAACTTGATATTTTTTTGTGTGTAGATGAAAGCAAATTTGAATGCCTCTCAACCTTTAAAAATATCACTCACACAAGGACTGTACAGAAAATAGAGCTAATCAGCCAAGGGGTTAAAACCACATGTGGCCATAACAAATTTGTTCATGGTTATAGCCATACCAATTTTTTGTTTGATAATGCTGCCTGAAAATATTTACTGGAAATCATTCATCTAAGACTGGGTTGCAAAAAACGGAGGTACTGGTAAGAACAAACTGGATGATGAAAAGAATAACAATGTATTTCAAATTTCCTTATACAAAAGAATTTGCCAAATAACATAACTTTCCCCTTGTGTAACAGAGCTACTTGTTTATAAGCGACTGTAAATTTTAAAATATAAAATACTCTACAAACACTACATAGCACTCTTCTGAAGAAGTTGAGCAAACCTATTTGTTATGAGAAGAGACACGTCAATAAAACGGTCTACACAGTTATTTAGGCATGTTTCAGTCCGACTGTCAATCTTGCTACCAGGCTTATCCATACATTTTTCCCAGCATATATCATTAAATTCATGGATCTGCAACAAAGAAAGGAAAAGCACATTCTTAGGTATGTTGGACCTGAGGTTCTCACACTGCTGATTATGAAGAGTACCATCTCACGGGTTGTAAAGGTGTGCAGGTTGGTAAAGTTCACCAACTTCTGAGAGGAGCATATCACCTCCTTCCTCAGGACCAAAGAGTAAGCCATGCTAGAAACCAGAAATAAGCAGGCAGCAAGCAGAGCTGGTTCCTTCCTTGGCTTAGTAATCAGCCCTGAAGAAGGATGTACATCCAAAACATCACTGGACTTCTACCGAACTAAATGGTATTACAGACCACATCATACACTTCATCCCTAGACAGGTTTGCACTTTTAAAATATAATCTCTACAGTGCCATGTAAACAATTTATTATTTGAGTAAATAAATGTCCTAGGTTCAAAACCTTAGAGGTAATCATAATATTTTTAGGTGATGGACAAGAACAGACACCACCACAAATGCACCATATGTCACTCATGTCTTGACAAGTCTGAAACTTAGGCACAACACTGAAGGTAAAAATCATAATAGGGATCATGCTTTTTTTTAAATTGGCTATTTAATAACGATGTTAGTATAGAGGCCATAGTGTTGAAAGGTTTCTGTTATATTCTTCTTTCAAAAATGTTCTGCCAGATATCTAGATGTAGAATTTGCACCCTTGGAGACATGGAAACTTATGTTCTTTGTCTGATAAATTACCCAGAAGCCATGTCACAGAACAAAAATTATACAAACAACAAATTAATTATTAGGCTTCCAAATTTTTAATTACAATTTATGTTCCAACATTAACCATTTCACTGTTAGTATGTTAAGTAACTCTCAGTACCCTCTGTGCTGAATTATTTTTTAATAAATCTTTTATAAATAATTTAAGTGCAAAGTATGAAAATTTATGATAAAATGTAACTAATCTTACCTCAGACATGGAACAGGCAGCAGAAGTTGTAAAAATGTTGAACTATTCAGTATTTTTCACAGGGGAAAAGTCCATTTAAATCAGGGTTGTCCAAGATGGCCCAAAAAAAAGTACATAATTCACTATCCTAATCTTATTACTAGGGCTCGGATTTCTATGACCTAAAAACTTTGAAATTATGCATGCATTTATACCCTAAAAATGGCAAAATATGACCTAAAATATGATAGAATGGCCCACAAAAAATAGTAAATATTTAACAAACCAAACTCTTTAATAAAATCACGCAACTTCAGCTATTAGAGCACTTGACTTTAGGCATCTTCAAACTATACTGAACAACTGAAGTTACGAATACAGTACTGTATTGGACGGGTTTCGGGGAGAGGGTAGAAATTTACAGCTTTGTGGATGGAAAAAATTTTCACCAATATGCAAGAAACAAACTGGACTTCATGTATCACTGCAGTGGAGGAGAAAAAGAGACACAGACAGACAGACAGAGGCAGAGGTGGCAATTTCTCTTTTCAAAGTGGTTGATTCTACGCCAGGTCAAGAACCGTTACCCTTCACACTGTACAGTATTTCTTCAAATCCCGTTACACAAGGCCAAATATTTATAAGAAATGAAGTTCCAAATAACATCGTTGCCAATACTTGCAAATATATTTCTGAGCAATAAGTGAAACTCACCTAAAATATGACCAAAAATATGATTTTATATCACTTCAGGCCCAAATATGACCTAAAGCTAAAATATGGTTCAAATATGCATTTATATGACCAATAAAAACCATATTTTCATGTTCACAAGAGTCAGAAATGCGTTTATATGTAATTATACATGTGAAAAGATGCCAGGATAAAAATATGACATGTCATAGAAATCCGAGCCCTACTTATCACTATTTCACATGTTGATCAAAGTCCACAACTTTATTTAAAACTATTATAGAAAGCAACACACACTATACGAAGCCATTTTTACTAGTCCTGTGAAATACCCGCGTCACATGACCATGGAGCACGTGCCTTGCTGTGCAGATGCAACCTTTTATATTTCTTAAGCTAGAGGGCAGAAGAATGCAGCCATTGAAATCAATGATGCTTCATTATGTTCCCAATAGATGACTCTATGCACCCGCCAAGTTTGAATGAGATTTAAAAGTCTCAAGTTGCAATACAGGTTTTGTCGATCGCAGCAAGGACACCATGTTTTTCAGTGACCGACATATGTCAACTGCAGCAGTTTAAGGGTTAAAGAGTTCTGATTAATTACAGAAATTACACATTAATTTTTGCTTATAATATTGGTACCAGAAAACTGTTCCAATAAGATAGTTTTCTGTTTAATCCAGGTTCCATTTCAGTTAGGTTTTACCATAATATTATCTTAAATGAGACATGTTGCCTGTTTTATATTAATTGTTAAGGAACAAGACTACCATTAAGTGGAACAAGCTTTAGTAAAAATTTGACTTAATACAATCACCTCACATTTTAGTCACATGGGACCAGCTTCAGAGGATCGTATGATAAAATGAGACTGCTTACATCATCATCATCATCAGTAATCTGTCAGACGACAGGTCCACAGTCTCTTCCAAAACAATTCCTCCACTTAATGCGATCTAGAGCTTTCTCCTTCAGATGACATTAAAATTAAACATATATAAATGGTCTTAGAATTAAACAGCCTACATTTCTTCTGAGTAAATGGCACAGTTGTGGTATACATTATACTTGTTCTGGCTTCAGGAACGTGTTAAATTGTATTTACATAGCCTTCATATGAAGTATTGGGTAATGCCGTTTTGGCACTTGTCTTACATAACAAGATGTGTTAGTACAGATGTCAGTAACTTTAACTCAAGATACTGGCATCTCCACTAACAGATTTCCAACACAGAGTGGCAAGGCATATATGACAATTACCAACATACCATTACCCAACACTTCATACAAAGCCTATGTAAAAACAATTAACATATTCCTGATGCCAGAACAACCATAATACATACCACAACCTCATGTTTTACTCAGAAGAGAGGTATACTGTATAATTCTAAGACCACTTATACATGTAAAATTTAATGTACATATAAGCAATCTCCTTTTATTATACACGACTCTGAAGATGTCTTATAGGGCTAAAATATGCAAGGCGATTATATTAACTCAAGTTTTTAATAAAGCTCAAAGTATAATTTGAATGATAAAGTCAAGGAGGATGAGACAGGCAGGGCACGCACCATGCATGGGGGTGCTGAGGAATGCATATAGGATTTAGGTGTGAAAGTTAGAAGGAAACAAATCACTATAGGAATATCTGTGTGTGTGTGTGTGTGTGTGTGTGTATATAT